GGGGGGAGAAAATAGCTTGTGTCATGACCCAGCTGCTCTCAGGTCACATTTGTTCTCTCACAGAAACAAAACCCGGAGCTGACGCCTCTGCAGCACCGAGCAAATCCGAACTCCCAACCTGCTTCCTTACGACAGATGAGCGTCACAATCAGTTCACAGAACCACAGGAAACACTGCGACATGAGCGCTGTGGATTATGGAGGTCACATGTCTCTGTCGTGATTGTTTTGGGGTCGTGGGCCAAAGAACTTTGTGAGTCTGCTCCTCGTGTTCACTGGAAGACGTTTCAGTTGTGCGACTGTTCAGCGGTGGAGGTTTTATACAGTTGGCTTTCCTTGCGCACATTTCCCATGGGGCCACTGTGGTGCTGCCATTTCTCCCACATCTGCATAACTGATTAGAATTGCTATAATTCAGCTGATAGATTAACCATGATCCTCCTTGTTCAACACTTTTCTTGCTCCTTGAAAAAAAGGTACAAACTCGTACATGTAATGTAAACGTTGTCTGGACACGGATCCGAGAGGCCGGTAGAGATTGAACCGCCGGTTGTGTAAGACAGGAGTGGGCAGATGGACGAGGAGGGAAGTGGGTTTTGTATCTGATGGTTATTCCAGGCTCTCACCGGGTTGATGGTCTTGGAGATTTACGAGGAAGGGGTTGTATATCCCTCCTCCGCCTGGGAGTCGAACACATGAGCGTCTCAAAAAGACAGTCAGGCACCTTCATATTCTCACAGACAGAGGATCAGTCTACGACCTGCACAGCTGTCAGCCTCCCATTGGTCGGATTTCAATGTGCAGACGCTTTACTCATCATTAATCACAGAAGATTGTCTCACTGACTTTATAGAAACAGAATCAAAACCACTTTTTAAAAATATCCTCTCCAATGCTTTAAGTTCTTTCACAGGTAGAACTGATCCATCACTTCCCCCAGATCACATTTCTTCTCCTAAACAGATGAGTTTCAGGTTCTCGACAGAACAATCAGCTCCCGCCAGTGAAAAGCCCACATCCGCTGCTCGGCTGCAGTTAAAGTGTGAGAATGGAAACAAGGACGTGAATGTGAGATCTGACTCGTCCAAACTCTTTGGCTGACGCTGCTTCCCTGAAAACTGCAGCATGTGGAGCATCTGTTTTAGTGGTTTGGCTGGTGACTAATGAAATATCACTGACTGGCCAGACGTGAACCTCCATGATTAAAACATCAGTCAATTTTATTTTCCGTCTTTAGACAGAGAGAAAACGAGGGTCGGTTAATTTTATTTTAATTTGCTTAACAAGTCATATTCTATTCATACCTTGTGTTTGGATATTGATACTCTGACTTGTCTCTGCACATATTATATTCAGTAAACTTAAGTTTTACAGTGTATTATGTGATAGATTTGAAAGGTTTTAGGCACTTGAGATCTTTAGTTTCGTATCCATCATATCAGTATCGTCTGGGAGGGTCAGGGATCTTTACACAATCGTCAATGGAGTCAAAAAGAAGCATGTTCAGAGGTGAGAGGAACGAGGAGTCCTGCAGCAGATGGTGTCCTGATCTCAGCATCACGTCAGTCTGACATCACATGAATCTAAATCCACAGGAGCAAGTGAACTGAAGCTTTTATGAGATGGACTGATGCTGTTTTATAGGAAGTGAGGTCACGATGTGTAGTGGACTCACTCTGATGATAAAAGAACAAGACAGCATCATGAGAATCTGGTGTGTCTGTGATTCGTTAAGTGTGCACATGACAAGGAAAACTATAATGTCACTTCATCTCAACAGCAAGTGAACAGAGTGGAGAGAAAGAACAACAGACACAAATCACAAGCTGAGATGAAAAGAGATGAATAAATAAGAAATGAAAGAAATCTTAAAAACCGGTGACATTAATACTGAAAATATGAATAATTTGTTTTAGGATGAGAAAACAAAGAAGCTGAATGATGAGTTGAATGTATGAAACTGAAGTTACATCATAAATGTTTTTATTATTCATATTTATTCATATATTTAATTCATTTGATTGATTTATTTGTCGTTTTCTTACCAGATTATGTGTTTGTTGTGTTTTCCTGACACTATCTTTGATACGTTTAATATCTGAAATACATGTTTACTTGCAAATATAAGGAAATAAAAAAAAACTTAAAACAGTAACTTTAAGTCAGCCAGAGAACAGAAAGACTGAACTCTGCTTCTCATAAACACTTTGGATGATGACTGTTCTGATCTTCTGCAGCTCAGGGGCAGATGTGTGCAGAGGTTTTGGAGGTTCGGGTCATGTTGCCCCTCCTAACGCACTGTGATGCTGCAGCCTGCAGGCAGAGTGTGATCAGCCGCTGCAGCCCGGCGCCTCCGATCAGCTCCTGCAAACCTCCACAAAGACAAACTCCGGATTTCACGCTGCGTCATTCGTCTTTTCGGGGCTTTAAAGGGAGTAAACGCGTGCGCTCCTGTCGCTCCGGGTGTTGCCAGTGTCTGGTCTCTGCAGGAAGATGAAGCTTGAAACTCTAGTGAAACTTCTCCTTGTGTTTTTCCTTCCTCACGCAATGCGCGCTCAGACAGGTAAGTTTCAGATCCTTTACGCACGGTTTCCTCAAGTTTACCGAGCAAACTTCTTGTTTGTATTTTTCTCTGGTGTTGATGTTGAATTCATTTCTGAATCAAACCAAATCTGAAATCTGATTTCTAGGATCTATAGTTTTGTGCCTTTGCCAAATAGAAGCTGTCCCTCTTCTCTCATCCATCATGTTGCTGTCATCCAAGGCCACATAGCTCCAGGGTCATGGTCTCAGTCACGTACTGAGAACAGAGAAGTTCACTTTCTCTTCACCCACTTGTAGAGTCTGTGTTCAGGGGAAGCTGCCCAGGTCCGGATGAAATGATGGATGGATGAAGGATGGATGTGTGAGGACAGCTCAGCTCTGACAGCTCCTGTCATGTCCCTTCAGCCTCTCTCTGTCAGCTCTCCTCAGAATCAGACATGGTGTCACCTTTCACTTGACCTCTGAGGTCAGGGCCATGAGAGTGAGACCTGCTCCCTCTCTCCTGGTGACAGCTCGGGTGTTTTTCTTTCCCTCCGCTCTCATGTTTGTGGTCGTACGTTCTGATGGTTCCTGATCTCTACCCGGTCAAACTCTCTTAGACCTCTCTCCGTCTCCTCGCCTCCTTAACCACCTGTCTTCTTACTGATCTTTAGTTTTAAATGTCACCTTTCCCTGACTCGTTAAGTAAAGTATAAAAGTTTAACCATAAGCTTTATTTGAATGAATACTTGTTTGTCCTCCAGAAAACCTTCCATGTATTTCATGTGAACATCCAGTGTGTCTCTCTCTGGCTCTGCTCGCAGCGCTCCCTCCTGAATGTGCACCGGGGGGCCACTCCATCCTCCAGAACCCCTACCGCAGCGCCACCTTCAGCTCCAGCTGGCTGCAGCAGTCGGCCCTGCAGGACTTCATCTGCGACCACTCCCTCACTCCGGGCTGGTACCAGTTTCAGATCTTTGACAAGCCGGCCAGCATGCCCACTCAGTGTGTGGAGGTAAATTACCTTTTCTGTGAAACATCTTTGAAGGACGCAGGCACAGACGTCTGAGGTGAACAGCTCTGAGCACTTGTAGTTGGATCTCAGCTCCCTGCTCTCTATGCAAGTTATAATAACACACACATCTTTATTTGCAAAGATAAAATGTGTGGTTTCTAATTGACGGAAGGCAGCAGTGCACTGCCCCTCATCAATCCTGCTGGAAGCTAAAAGAAGAAATCAGGAAATCAGTTCAGAGCCGGTCTATCTCTTGGCATTTTCCAGACAAACCAAATTGCCTCAGATATTTGACAGACTCGTAAAAAGTGTCTGACGTCATTGGGCATGTGATTTGTAAATCTCACTCCTATAAATCCCTGTTGACTTTGCGGTCACACACAGTTATTGGTGAGTGTGTGTACATATATTTATGAAGGAGAGCTGGAATGTGTCTCATTTCCTGCGAGCGCCCCGCTGAGACGAGCCGGTGGGATCCATGTGAAGTGTCCGCCTCTCTTTTGCCTTCCCAGGGGATCCTCGCTCTCTGTGGGTGATGGATCCCTGCAGGAGTGGGCGGAGGACGGAGGAGAGGATCGCTGTGGACATGTGCTGCACAATAAGGAGACGTCTTTTACGATGATGGCGGATAAATGGATAAATTTGTCAGACCAGGGATTTAACTGTTTCAAGCACATATCCAGACTTCTAGCAGTTTCAGATGTGTTTCATATAATTGGGAAAACTTCACTTCCTGTGCTCAAGAGGAAAAAAAGCAACCATAAAACATTTCTAGCAGGAGCAGAAATGTAAAAAGTTGCAGTCATTTGCCATATTTCTGCTTAAACAGCCATTTGTGTGGTTTCTCTAGACTTTGACTCTTCCCTCCTTTGTCTCTTTGTGAACTTCCAGGTGAACCACTGTGGGACCCAGGCCCCGGTGTGGCTGTCCCTGCGTGAAGGCGAATCCTTGCCTGGACCGCTGGAGCTCCGGCAGCTGACGGCCTGCGCTGCCTGGCAGTTCTTCCCGAGCAGCAGCAAAGACTGCTGCTTGTTCCGCATCCCGGTGACCGTGCGTAACTGTGGAGACTTCTACGTTTACCTGCTGCAGCCCACACAGGGATGCATGGGATACTGCGCTCAAGGTCGGTCAACTGAACCTGCTGTTTAAGACTTCGTACTTTCTTTGACCAGCAATCGAGTGTGTTAATTAATGTTGATTTGCAACTCACCGTTATTGCTCCATCGCTCGATCTTTCCTACAGAAATGTCAGAGACTTTACCCACGACGTCGCTGACCTGTGGCCCTGACGAGGTGAACGTCGATGGAACATGTAAACGTGAGGATCCTGCTGCTGTGTTTATGGCCGATGCTTGTCTCCTCGTGTTAGGTCAAACAGCAGAACAATCAGGAGGTCAAGGAGTTGCCATGTGGACAGGAATGCACCGCCGGCCCCCTCACCGCTCCTCTTAATGAGCTGAGCATGTGTCCCGGGGTCCGCTGGGTCTCGTCTCCATGGCTACGGCCCTCGACCGGGGCAAAAGTTATGCCATGGCAGGTTTTAGGAAGCTGGCAGAGATGGAGGAGGGAGGTTTAATTAGAGGGAGATGACAACCCAGTCAAGTTGTTCCTCCACCAACCAGGGAAATAGTTTCTTTATGGACGAGGCTTTCAGAGCGTCAGTCTACTGCGGCGTAGCTGTCAGTCACTTACTATAAAATCTTTTCATGTTTATATTCTTAATAAAAGTAAAATTACGATCTAATAAACTTTATTTATAGAACAAAAAGAACAGAAGATACATGCAGTGCAACTACACGTGTTAAAATGAGACAATCAATGAACCTGGTTGAATCATTAATTAATGAGGATGTAAAATGATCATTTCCAGATGTTATTAAAATCCTCCTCTTCTCTCTCAGCCGAGCAGCCTCCCTCTCCCTCGGTGCCGGTGATAGTGTCGGAGGTCACCGGTAACACTGTTTACCTCAAGTGCAGCTTCGACATCAGCCCCGGAGGCTCCAGCAGCTCCGGCAGCTCCCTGGGCTTCGTGGTGGCCTGGTCCCGTCTGTCACCTGAGGGACGGAAGGACGAGCTGAAGCAGGAGACCACCATCCAGACCTCGGCCTTCATCGAGCTGGACGGTTTCAACCTCCGCCTGGGGGACAAGGTCTGACGCTGGGCCGCGGTGCTTTGCTTTGTGGGGCTCTGGTTGGATTTAAGAAGAACTGTAGTTTATCAGCTTGAGCCCAAAAATAATAATCCTTGTTTAACATTAAGCGCAGAATTCTTTGTCGTAGCATTGTTTCCTGTCATTGTCACTTGGAACAACCGGAATTTTATGCTTTTAATATTTTCTATTCAGGTCCTGGACTCACAAATGTCCTAAGACTTATAAAGCTTGAAGTTTCCCCCACATCTGGACTAAAAACAGCTGGACAGACACATTATAATATTTGAAATGTGTTAGATTGAATGTTTAAAGACAGTCTGCATGTAGCACTCCCACAACTGGACTTTCCATTCTTTGGAAATCAAATATGTGACTCCTGGAGTTTAAAGGCAGCAAAGACTGGAGCAATGCTCAAAAGTGTTCGCTGCTCATCTGTGTGAACATAACCTTTAACTATAAAACCTTTTATTGATTCTGGATGTTCGGCGTGACCTTGATTAAGTTCATGACGATGGTTGGCGATGTAGTTACACTGATAAAGAAAAGAGAATGGATGGTTTGTACATTACTTCAAAAGAAAGAAAACAAATAAATCTTTCTCTCTTTCCTTCCCTTTCTCAGATTTACTGCTCCTGTTCCAGTTTCTTCTTGGAGTCCCCAGACGTCCGCGGTGCTTCAGTGGAAAGTCAGGAGTTTTTTGCTGGGATTAGGGTAAATCACAGTAATCTGAGACTGTGTGTCGTGTCTGGATACATTTTTGTGTGTTCATATGTTTTTGCATAAATGTTTATTTGTTATTTTGTGTATATGTAAGAGAAATATGTTTCCCACTTCTCCGTCTGAATATCACGTAGCGGTGATGAAGTGT